TTAATGACGTGGTGAGTCCCTTCCCCAGTGGGAGGTTCCTCATTAGTTTTCTTTTAGGTCAGCTGGCCAGTGTCTTCGGAGTCTTCGACTGTGCTGCGGTTCAACGAGTGGCTGTAGGATGTCGTTTGGGTGATTTGCTAATTTGTTGTGGTGTGAGGTACTTCTTTCTCTGATGATGTCCTTGATGTATGGTATATTTAGGCCTGTATGTAATGTTTGGTTGCTTACATACCAGGGTGCATTTGTTAAAATTTGAAGTATTTTTGATTGGCTTCTCTGGATTATTGATATATTTGATTTGCTGGCACAACCCCAGAGCTCAATTCCGTAAGCCCAGATTGGTTTCATTATTGTCTTATAAAGAAGGACTTTCTTTTCTATGGTTAGGTTGGATTTTCTTCCAATTAACCAGTTTAGCTCCTTGGTTTTTAGGTCTATCTGTTTGCGTTTTTTGATTACGTGGTCTTTCCAAGTGAGTCTACTATCCATATGGATTCCGAGATATTTAACGCTTGGAGACTGTGGGATATTGTTATTATACAGTCTTACTGTACTTACTTACGCTCTCGCCTAAGCGTGAAGTTCACTTGGACAGATTTAGTCTCGTTTATTTTAATTTTCCTTTTGTGTAGCCATACTTGTATTTGGTTAAAGTGGTTTTGTAGGATACTGGTGACCTTTGCTGGATCTGCATGGGTTACTAGGATGACTGTATCATCTGCAAAGGTTCCTGTGGTGGTGTTTTCATCGGTTGGTGGGTTCGCCGTATAGAGAAGGTATAAAAATGGTCCTACTACACTGCCTTGTGGTACCCCAGATTTTATAGGAAAGTTAATAGAAAAACTCTATACGTGGGAGTCAGTTATAGTGGACTGAGGAATGCGGTTCCTCGGTGAATATTTGTAGCCATTATTGGATATCACTTTGAATTTTTTATTTCGCAAGATAAATTAAAATTTTATAATTTAAACTTATTTTCAACATATTCTGGAATCAATGTCTCTTACTGCAGTTGCCTTTGTTATTAATGTTTCTAAGAGCACAGCGTTTCATGCGTCATAGGTTATTATGCGTTCTATGCACAACATGCAAGAAAGTGACGCCCATAAGGGTAATTATGTCTGTGTGTATATTTCAACTCAGAAACAACAACAATTTTGACGAAATTTGATTGTTTATGTTACTGAAGGTCAATCCTAGTCTGGAGATTCAATTCATTATAAACAGCAATATTATTCTGTCGGTCACACCAACTTGTGAGGTGGAAGCAAGACCGGCTCCACTAGCGAATTGCGGTAAGCACGTTAACCAGTAGCAGTCATCATATTAACCACAGTAACAATGAGAATAGTGGTAACAATAGAAAGAACTGTAAAGATAGTACAGAAATAAATATCCTAGTCGGCTTTTAAGCTCTATAAAGTGGTCGTGTACTCGAATAGTAAGTCAAAGTGTCAAAGTGCTAGGAATATGTGTGGAAGCTGTGAGCACATTTACATTATAATTATTATTATTATTATTTTACCTCCTCTCAATATGTATGTTTAAATGTTTTTCTGGTCATCCAAACTATTAAAAATTTACTTGAATTTCAATCAACCAGTAAATCAGTCATCTACTAAAATATCGGGAATATAATGGCTTCCTCGAAAGCAAGAGTCCTTAGTTTTCTGTTCCATGGACCGGCAACATGAAACACAAATGTAACAGGATCGCCCCTCTTTATCTTAGAAAATCTTTCAAACAATCCGAACCCATGAAATTTTCAACGCGTATTTCAAATCACTATTCAGGCTCTCACCTGGAAGTTCTGAAGAAACCTACGAAAGTAATCTCTCAGGATATTCGGTATTGGGCACAGATTTGAACTAGGTACTTCAGGAATAAAGTCTTAAGAGAGATGGCAGGAAGGCATATTATTATTTGGGTATTAAATTAACTGCTGATTACAATGGATTCAGTTTGTCTTATTATCCGATGTTACGTATATACACATATAAANCTGGATCTGCCGGGCTCAGGATAGGGACCAGTGGAGGCTCTTGTGACGACGGCAAAGAACCTTCGGGTTCCATAAGATGCTTGGAAGTTCTTGAGTAGCTGTACAATTGACGGTTCCTGGAGAAGGGCTCAGCTCCATGTGTGTGAGTGAGAGTGAGTGATTTACACCGCTGTGAATCCCTGTGACGGTCAAGACCATGCTGCCTGCGTAACCGAATTTCATCCGAAATATATTTTCATTCGGAAGAAGAAATTACGGACTAGAATAAAATAAATCGACTATGACATCATATAGGTTAGCACATTTTTCTTTTTAATTCACAACTGTTCTTGTTATATGAACTGTAGAGCCCACCGATAAGGCCATTCACGGAATGAAATATTATTCTTGGCATTACAAGGACAAAATGCTTATTATGGATTGCATAAGATTCGATTAATTAAATTGTGGCACTGGGTGGGAAATGGACTCGAGTATATGAAATTACAAGAAAATAAACTAGCATGTAATTTCTTAAACTGAAAAAATAAAGCAATGAAACTATTTTATCAAAGAAATTTAGAAATAGTACATCTTGTAATTAGCCCTTCAAGAATCCTTGCTAGCAAGTGAGGGTAGGACAATCTTGCCTCTGCAAGCTCTTTATTGTAAGAACTCACTAAAAACGCACTCTTTGTCAACATAAATTTTTGCATAGTAAAATCTGCCAACAGATAAACAAATTTGTTTCAAGCAACCTTCTCCACAAAGCAAGCATTAGTAAAAGAAAGATTAGTATCATGGCTTAGCTTTGTGGTTATGCGCTACGAAAATATATGGTACACGTTTCTCCAAAACAGCAACAAGAAACGGACAGGGCGTGTGAATGCATCGAAACACTTGTATAGGAATGCAGACAACGCTGTATCTAAAACGGGATGTATCAAAATTCTACACGATTAATTGGATTAATTCTTAACTGTCTATTTATTTTTGGACGTAATTGCTATAATAATATGTTCAGTACAACATACATTATGACCTGCTGCAGAATTAACAGTTTAAATTCAAAATCTCTCCGAGTGTGTGTGTGTGTGTGTATGTGTATAAGGTAAGGTAAAGTTGTCCCTGTGCTTAACTTACTAAGCACTTCACCATGAAGGCATATGGTGGAGTGGATGTAGAGGCCCACATTTTCTTGACCTCGACACTAGCTGGACGTGAGTGGTCAGCTTAATCCAAAGGGGAAGGACAATAGATCATTGAAGGAGGCAGTGCTAGGGTCGGATTTTATGGCCCACCCCTTATACACATGCACATACATACATACATATACAATTCAAACATCTGCATAATACACATACCCTTACTAAAAGAGTGTCTTATTGAACTGTTGTATATTTACTTTTATGATTTAATTGTTTCATAAATTTAAAATGTGAGCCAAAGTTTAAGAAGGAATTGTTTCAAAAATTGATTTCACCATAACATTTGGAATACCACTTCTCATCTGATGTTATTCTTTTTTTATTTATATTAAATAAGCATAAGGAATAGAACCTGTCGATATTTAAAAGCGTTATGTTGGCAGCCCTTGAGAATCTTATAGCAAGAGCCGCCATTTGTTACCTTCACTAATGGCGTTACTGTAGCCATGGAGCAGTGGAGCGTGCAGCAGTGTGCGCTTATTGTTGAAATGTTTTCAAAAATGTTGACTCTGTTGTTAACGCGGCGAATGTTTCGCAGGCGCTTCAACGTTGCTGGTCACGGAAAAGTTCCTGGCCGCAATGCCATACAATTATATAGGTATAAAACTTCAGAACGAGTGCTTCCGCAGGCAGTGTACATTGCCACATAACACTGAGGCTGTGAGGCAGTTATTCATATGGAGTCCGAGGCGTTCTTTTGCTGTAGGAATATCCGCTCGCAGCGTGAGGAAAATTCTAGATATGGATCTGAACTCCCATCCGTACAAAATGGTGGCGGTGCAAGGGTTAACCGAACGTGACATGGCAAACCGTGGCACGGTAGCTGAGAGTTTAATCGGAATTTCGTTCGGCGGTGTTATTTATCCTTATGACACGTGAAGCACACTTCCTCTCATCTGGCTATGTCCACAAACAGAAATTTCGCTGTTGAGCAGAGGAAAACCCACAGCGGCTCCATCAACGGCCTCTTCACAGTGCACGTGTGATCACATGGTGTGGGGTGGCACACTTCGGAGTCACAGGCCCTTATGGGACGTGCAGTTACAGTCACATCTGCTCGTTATGCTGAAATGTTACGGGACTTCCTCACACAAGAACTGAGTAGCAGTGAAACTCAACTCTCGACCATGTGTTCCAGCAAAATCGTGCAACTGCCCATACAGTGAGAGCATCCGTGGGGCTCGTTCAGGAAATATTTCCGGAGTGCGTTACTTCACTGCGCAGCGAGCCTCCATTGCCTGCCCTTCTGCCTGATCTCCCTGCCGGTGATTATTTCCTTTGGACGCAACCCAAAGCGAAAGTGTACACCATTCGACCACGAACCAACGATGATTTCAAGCTGGCAATCTGGAAGCAAATTTCAGCGATACCAGAAAACATGTTGAGGCGAGCACTGGGAAACCTGTGAACAAGGTTGCAAGTGCGTGTACGCAACAAGCAACATCTTAGTGATGTGCAGTTCAAAATGAAATAAAGAGAACCGAATAATATGTATGTGTAATAAAACGCCATTCAATTTTCACTCATTTTGTAACAATAGATTAAAATTTAAAATTAAAATTTCACTGTTTTCTATACTTCAGAAAATTGATGGGCTCCTTTCTCGCACTCTATATAAGTCGGAAGAAATTTTCCCTTAACTGTTTAATTACTTTCATCAGTTAAATCTTGAGGTAAAAGGTCTTTCGTCGTTCTAGGTCAATTATTATCGATGATATTCTAATTGGGAATTTTACAGTTAAATTTATACTCATATTTTAATTTTGATTTATTTAATATATGCTGAAGTAGCATATATACAATTTTAATTCTAAATATAGTTAGTACATACTGTATATGCAGATGAAATACATACGAAACAGCACTATGAGCTATTTGTATCATACATTCATAATATAGATTTTAAAGGGTTCTGACCATGGTGGATGACACACAGAATTACTGGGAATTTGGACTTTTTCTATCGTCCGGAATTCTAGGTAATAATTACCCCAGTAATTCTGCTATTCATAATATAATTCACAAAAACGAGAGTACTTTTTTTTCTGTCTTCTGTAACGCCTCCATTCAGAAAATTCCAAAATGATCAGGTTGAGGAAAGTCTAGTCTAAAGTCATGAAAAATAATCAAACTTATAATGAAGTTGTAAGATTTGAGGTTTTCACGGCGGTGACTATGAAGAAAGCAGTCTTATGGAATGTGGCGCCGTGTAGATGTGGTGTTAACCGACGTTTCGGGGGAAAGTATCATCTCCATCTTCAGGGTAGACAAAACCCTGCTTCTGTCCGAGCCCCTTTTCCCCTCCCCCTCCACTGATTTCCCATGTAGACTTGCCCCCCCCTTCACTGATCTCACATAGCTGTGTATATTTCCAACACCAGTCTGCTTGCACTGGTTCTCACGGTCTCTTCGCTTGCGGACTTTCTTATTTTTCCTTCTACGCTGAACATGGAGGCGATACGATCCTCCGAAACGTCGGTTAACACCACATCTACACGGTGTCACATCCCAGAATACTGCTTTCTTGTAATGAAGTTAATCCAAGTGCATATGTTCTGAAATTATACAGTAATATAAACATGTGAGTATATGTATAATGACAACAAATAAAATTCGGGTTCATGATGAAAAGAAGATAAGAGCACATGCAAGAAATCTTGTTATTCCAGTAACTATTTTGTCTTACTTTTATGCGTAAAATAGAATTTCCCAAATTGTCACATGGATTTGAACCCTTGCTTCCTATTCTGAAGGTACAGAATTGTAACACATTTTACGTCACATTAAGCTTGTAGTTTTGCATTATTTTTCTTCTTCTCTTTACATTTAGGTAAAGTGTAGGAACTTGTAAATAGAGTCAAGCAGCCGGAGGGTGAAACTGACCACTCATTCGCATGCAGTGCCGAGATCTAGAATGCTTAGAGCAGCATACAATGTCTTCTTGTATATGTCATTCTTTAGAGGATGATTTCTGAACATAAAATATTATAAAATTCATATGAATATGTTAAATGCGGAAAATCCTTTAAAATTTATAGCCTTTATAAAATATCGCTTTCTGACTTCATACTCCGAAAATCAGACATTCTGCGAGTAATACAATTCTATTTGTGTTGTGTGGTCATCGTAAATATTTATAGTGCAAAGGAAGAATTTTCAGAAACATTTTACATGTGTGATACGCACACTTGAAGAAAGGTCAAACATATTCATAAGTGACAAACCCATCTTCTCGTTAGAGAGGAAGTTACTATGCTACTATGACGCCAAGATTTCAGTTGAAAAAAAAAATTCTGGTAGTGAGTCTCACTGGGCTTGGCGCCAAGACAAACTGATTGGAGGTAAACCACAAGTCGGAAAATAACTTTGACTCTGACTTTGAGCTTGTTCAATATGTGAAGAGAAAACTTGGTTGGAGGAAGATTTCGGAAATTAAGGACGTAGGCGGACAGTGTTAAAATCTTTTACCAGGAAAATTCTAGTTAAGACAGAAAAGACTTTTTGTGTGCTGTAGTTACAGTGATATTTTGATTGTGTAATTCCGTGAGACTGCTATAGTCATGTGTAATTACGAACAGGAAGTGGTCAATAAATCCAATATTCCGTCCAAAATCCCATCTAGAGTCACTCCTAACTTGACAATGTGAAACTCTACACATATTAAAGCAGATTCATAAGGTTCGTTATACTTCTACAATTATTTCATTGCTTTCAATATTTATCTTACTAACAAGATTGTGTTTCAGCCTCTTGAGTTCCATCATATTACTGAAATTAATAATATGTGGAAACCTCAGCATTATTGTTTGCTATACAAAATTTATAACGTCATAATAAAACTGAAAACTATGTTTTAAGTAGCTTTCAAGTGCAAATGCTGAACAGATTCATGACGTTTAATACAAATATATCTGATGGAAACAGATTTTTCATTGCATTTCAGTATTGTTATATTGCAGGCATGTCCAACTCGTCGATCACGATTTACCGGTCGATCGTGGGACGATTTTTGTTCGATCTCATAGGCTTATAAGGAAATTACCCATTGAGCAAGGCATCTCTTGAAAATGAGATATTAACCTTTAAAAATAATATTTTTCTGAAGACTCGTGTTGGACAAGTATCGTTTTGGAAGTTAGTGCCTAGACACAAATTTCCAAACTTAAAAAGATGCAAAGAAATTGTACACTCCCTTTTCGGTTCAACTTATTTGTGTGAATCTGCGTTTTCTTACATAAAAATGACAAAGAGTAAACAACGTTCCAACATGACACATGAACGTCTCCAGGACTGAATGAAATTGGCCCTCAACCAGTATTCACATGAACTTCCAACAGCTGGTGGATGAAATGCAGACCCAGGTGTCTCACTAACGAATAAGGTAAGTCTGTACTTTCAATGTACGTATGTTGCTTTTACGACAAACATCATGTGTCATGTTATCTTTACCAATATTTTTGCTTAAAGCGAGGTCGTAGATCACTGGCAGTTTTGACACTAAAAAGTCGATCAGAGTCTGTTTGAAGTTGGACATGCCTGTTTTATTGGATTGATATAAACGAAATGTGCACTGCTGAGAAACTTTCTCCTGATAATGAGTGAATTGATATTAGTAAGACGCATTACTAAAAACGGAGTAAGAACCGTTGCAGTACAAGAGACCAGGGTGACAAAATTGTTCTGTGAAATCAGCATTCCGGAGACCTGGTATGCGTAGACCATTATAGTGGATAGTAGATAGCTTTTTTACCTACGGAGCTCTCGGCAGTGGTTGCGGACATTTTGCAGCGACATCTGAACACTGCAAATGATGAAAGCATGATGAAATCCGTGACGTTATGCTGGCTATGTTGCCAGCCAATAGCATTATGTTGTAAGGCCGTAGTTCCTTCAGTGCGTGTAAGGACGGTACTGGTAGGAAGTTTTAATTTGTTTGTTAGTGCAAGTTTTCTGATCAAAGTGACTTGAATTCAGTTTTGATAAGAACATGAAGTGATATCTTTGATGTGTAAGACAACAGCTGTGTTTATAAAGCCATTGCAACATAGGTGAAGTGCTGTGTAATATAAAACCGATCAGACTGCTGGACTCTGCGTCTGGAATAGTGGTTCGGGATGAGTCATGTGCGGTCATGTTTGTCTAGCTTCAGCTCTTGTGGGGCTTGTGGGTGATGGTGAACCGATTTCAGGTAAGGAGAAGACAGTCAAGTTACTACGCAGTATAATGCAGTTTTGTAGGGAATAGTGCTGTAATTTTGAAAATCCAGCTTGCAGTCTTAGTTCTCATACACAGTTATGAAGGAGAATTTTCAGCAAATATTCTTTTAAAATCAATATTCCATTACTTTCAGTAAACAGGTACATATGCCTAATGGTTAGTTTTAAGAATATTCGTTAATTTAATGAAAGGCAGTTATTCGTTTGGTACGCAAATCATGCCCAATTGGCAGTCAGCGCCCATCACAGTGGCCACGCGAAGTCATGAACTGTCTTCGATCGCTCGAACGCCGAGATCATGGGTTCGAATCCCGCTCAAAGCGTGGATGTCTGTGTACGTTTATTCTGTGTCTGTGTTGTCCAGTGTGTAAGTAGAGGCCTTGGGACGTCAACGGTAATGTTATTTTAAAGCCTGGATTTTCAGAATAGTTCACCTTATTTTTTAACATTTTCTAGATCAAAGATTGTGTTAGAGTTTGGAAAGTCGCTTAATATTCTAATAAAAGCCTAGAATACAAATTTCACATACGTTTCTTGATACCGGATGATCGCAAGGATCTGTTATAATTTTATTTTTATTTCTTTTACGGTCTGTCGTATCATAACGTCGATGGTCCCATTACCTCAATCTTACATAATTATGCAATGTTAAAGCAACTGATTTCTAACCCTAATGTCTTTGTTTGATATATGTAATCTTGCAATATTTTGTAAGGAACATTATTACATATTTCGTGAGATCACAGTCCTACAGTTCTCTGTAATCTGAGGAATGAAACCGATTATTGTTCACATTTCGTGTGTTTAGAGCTTAGTCCCTTCGTGTGATACCACAAACCGACAGACCGGTACGGATCCCAGTCTGAAACGCAATGAGTGAAGGAACTGGATGTTTTTCTTCTTTCTCTCATTCAGAATTTCCCTTGTGCCTATTTGTTTTATATAATGTGTCATAGAAACTTACTGACAGATGATTTTCTCAGACGCCCTCAGGAATATTATCATCATTGTGGTTCTAATACAATTACCTATTTATCTCAACATATATTGAATTTCTTGTTATCACGCCTGATCATCTCCGAGACATCATTTGGTAGTCAAGTGAATATGCTAAGGGATTTTATATAATTGTAGACTAGACTCCAGATATAAATTACCTGGAAGAGTTTAGAATTATTGTAAGAAAATCGAAAAAAATGAAGAAATCAGTGACCCTTCCTCTCTTTCATGTCTGTAGAGTCCGATGTCTCTGAACATCCAGTGCAAATTGTCTCAGAAGTGATAGAAGCGCTGGGATTAATTATTAATGACTTCAGAAGTAGGAAATCCGATAACGCTGCCTGGCGAACACTCAGGCTTGCAAGCAAGAATAAAAAATGAATGACTCTCAGATCTCTACATTCTAATTCAAAGTCATTATTTAAATAGAGCAACGAGATCTTACCAAGGCACTACGAAGTCTTTCTGATTTTGTTAGAATATTTACACGCTTTACTCGGCAACTTCACATCGATGGAATGTGCCAAAATCGCACGGACAGCAAAAGAAAATTTTAGCGCATTAACTATGTAAGATTGTCTGCAAGATCCTATGTCATTTTGCCTTTTAAAATAGTTTCGATGAAATTAGAACTCTCTCCATGATGAAGCATTAACAGAGAATGAGAAGCCTCTTGCAAAGGCCGAAACAATTCTACAGCAAAAGTTTGGAGAGTATGATAATGCTGTCGCGTCAGTTTTGTGGCATCTTTTGACACAAATCTGCAGTAGAAATGAGGTGACCCATTGGTTTGCTGTACAATTGTTGGCTTCTCCGAAGGATTTCGTCATTTTAGTAAGAAATGATTATACGCCTGCTGAAAAGGAATATTTTTCTTTAACGGAATATGTCAATCCTGATGAATCCTCAAATGGGATATTGTTAAGGGGAAAAAATCATTGGAGCTATGAACAACGGAATTATTTTAGAAGGGAAACAAAGGCCAATCGCTGAATTTGTTAACATGATTTGTGAAGAATTTGCTGCACAATAAAATAATAAATAAATTTTGTACTTATTTAAAGTACCTTTCCCTTGCAGAATTGATGAGGTGATTTTTCAAGCCGAGCTCTTATTTGATCTAACTTTCCTTCGCGTTTTACTCAGTACTGATATTTTGGTTTTCTGTCTATTAACAAGCTATTTTATTTTCTCTGACAAGATTGTGAATGATGTTCCTCTGCCGAACTCGAAATCGGGAAACTTTGTTCTGAATTTCCTCTGCTTGTACCCACCAAAGTCAGGGTTCATATAGTATTCACATAACTTCACCATTTCCTAGAGAAACGAAACCCAGCGCCAGTCACAACATGAATCTCTCCCGTCACAGTTGCTGCTGCTTCATGGGGATAGGCGGAAAACACTGCATTGTCCTTTCATAACACAAAATTAGTGTTTCATCTTAGCCCAGAAATAATCTCACAGTAGAATAATCCTCAACTAGATGCATTGGTTGAATTATTTTCGCTCAGACATCTTCTGCATACGTCGTTTCGTCAAAACCTGTCAGTGTTTGCAAAAAGTGAATTTGAATATTGAATTAGCCTTATACATGATTGTTAAAATTTAAATATTGATGTCAGAACTAAATTTTAAACTTAGACATACAGACGTATTGTACATCTGTGATTATAGAAGCCACTTGTGCCCCTTTAACTTCCTCCATATTCCTGTGTATGAGCTTCTTTCGTCAATTCTCTGTAGTTCGAAAATGAAATCAAGAACTGTTGACACGGAAAGGTTAATATACTGACCGATAGGTAATATCTTGGGAGAACGCATGAGAATACTAAAACACCACAGTCACAAAGCACAAAAATTAGTGTGTGTTTAGTTTTGAAAAGGATTCTGACATTTAAACGATTCCCAACTGAGTAGACGTTTACCTCAAGATGGAGATAGAACCCAGTCTACAAAATGTTGTGTTTTAACCAAAAACGGTGCTGTGTATAATTTCCAAAAACTCAGTTATTGTAAAGAGTTTGTCGTTTATGAGATTCATGATGTTATTTTCACTTACACCAATCTTCGAAATTATTTTATCTCATAATTATTTTCCACAGTGTCCAGTTCTGTAGGTAAATAACTAACATATCGAATTATTGCAAAACGATGTGTAAGTGAAGCAAGTTTCCTAAAGTTGTTACGAACATATCTGCAGATATTTTCAAAATAAATTATTGCAATAGATCTATAGTAATATGAGTCTTTTGGGTCTGTATATATTTCAGAAACCAAAATGCCCAACATTCTTATTTCACTTCATTTCGTAGAGAATTTTGCCCAGAACAATATTCCTTATTGATGTCATTCGGGTGACAAAGAACTAAACTGTAATTCATTTTCGTATCGGTGAGTGACAACATAAAATTAACATCTGAAGTCAAAATGCAAGAAAAAACTTGTCTGTATGATAATTACACTGTGCATTAAGCTGCCATCTCGTGGCTAGGACATTAACTACACGATGTTCTGCAAAGAGACCAACGTAGTTCTACAAGTTGCTGAAAGATTGCACTACTATGAGACACGCAGCGCCAATCAATAAGACGAAAAAAAAAGGGGGGGGGGATTTCGACTCTCCAACCTCGGTAAAGCTACACGTTTCTTTATTGGCGAACGCAGTTTTGACGTAATCAAGCAAGAAACAGAGCAGGAGCTTATGTTGCTGCTAAATACTGCTGGGAGAAATAATATTAATTCGTAATGAAGTTATGACGTGCAATGCTAAATAAAAAAACAAATGAAAGTTTTTCATGGTTTATCACTGTTAAATGGAACTCAGTCGGTGTAGTGATTAGGCTGGATGATACAGGAAGCTGGAAACTATTCCCGGCAGAGCCAGGAGATTTCAGATTTTTGCACATTGTCAGGATGGCACTTGCGCCAATCCAGTGAGTACCGGGCGTCCTTCCAACTTATGTAAAGTGGCCAGGGAGTGAAGCTGACCATTCAACTCTGTTTATTGCCTAAGTTAAGTATGCGTGGAGCTATTCTTCAATTCCCACATGCAACTTGCTGGCTTGGTGCTTGCTTAAAGGCAAGGGCGATATTACCGTTAAGTTATTTTTACACTAGACTGCATTAACTCTTCCATAGCAGTTAATTTCAATGAATGGTAAACTAGTTCCGATTTTGCTTCCCGTCCGTTTCGCTTACATTTTCGTTGCGTCTACATACATGTAATTAATAATAAGTATTAGTGACTCATATGACCGGATATAGATTTGAATGTTTTCGTGTTATAATTAAGTCGTATGTAACTGAGAGCCGGTCACGGTAGCCGAGCGGTCTAAGGCATGAACTGTTTTCGCTCGCTCGGAAACCGGAATCGTGGGTTCGATTCCCACACGAGGCATGGATGTTTTGTATGTGTATGCGTTTATTCTGTGTTATGTGTTTGGGTAGAGACCTTGCGACGTGCTGATAACCCGTCGAAGGAATTCTACGGTCTGTACAAGTGATGAATGAAACAAATCAGCCCTATGCTCCAAAGTGGGAGCAAGAGGAGAGAAACAAATTGTAACCGAGAAATGACACCCAGTCAAGTTGACACAGGCGACAATGCTGATGACTTTTATTCAGGAGGATTCTGCTTCGAATCTTGGCCAGGAAGCCGACTGTTTTGAGAGGTACTCTAGTCCCTCCAGCTCAGTACAGGGATGGTAGACATATATAACGGTTATATTATGATCTGAACATTTTAGGTTAGTTTCGAAGTAATTTCGAGAACCACCTGTTAATTTCCTGTTCATCTTTCAGTGGGTAACAGGTTCCTGTGTGAGTTGTTTTAAATACACGTTGTTGGGTATGGTTATTGCACTTGTATAAAAGCCAGTTTAACCATTATTATACCCGAAAACAACAGGTTCTTGAGTACCAGACTAACCTTAATTCATTTTGATAATTTGAGACGCTCTTCATATTTAACAAG